CTGGGCCTGGGCGCTGTCCCTCAGCTCTTCAGCTCAAGGCTAGCGCTCTACCACTTGAGCCACAGCGCCACTTCCGGCTTTTTTCTTATGTGGTGCTGAGGAATTGAACCCAGGGCCTCGAGCATGCAAGGCAAGCGCTCTACCACTGAGCCACCTTCCCAGCCCCGTCCATGAAACTCTTATCTCCAATAAACCACTCAGAAAACCGAAGTGGCACTGTGGCTCAAGTGGCAGAGCACTAGCCTTGAGCTGAAGAGCTGAGGGACAGCGCCCAGGCCCAGAGTTCAAGCCCCATGACCGACCAAAAAAAAAAATTTTTTTTTTAAATATAGAGATGGCCAGGCGTTGGTGGCTTATGCCTGTAATCCTAGCTACCCTGGAGCTGAGATCTGAGGATCGCGGTTCAAAGCCAGCCTGGGCAGAAAACTTCGTGAGACTCTTATCTCCAATAAATCACCAGAAAACCAGAAGTGGCACTGTGGCTCAAGTAGTAAAGCACTAGCCTTAAGCTGAAGGACAGCACCCATGTCCAGAGTTCATGCCCCACAACCATCCAAAAAAAACATATATATACACATACATACATACACACACACACACACACACACACACACACACACACACACATATGGATAAATGGCAAGTATAAATGTGTGACAGATGGAAAAGGGCTAGCTGAAGTGGTTTAATTAAATCTTAGCTACTTGGAAGGTGGAGATCAGAGGATATCAGTTTCTGGTCAGTACAGGCGAAAAAATTACAAGACTCCATTTCAACCAATGGCTTATTTGTCATTCCAGCTATATAAGGAAGCACAGACTGGACTGTGACCCAGAATAGATAGCCCAGGAATAAAGCAAGACTCTACCTCAAAAAAATAACCTACAGAAAGTAAACTCAAGTGGTAGATCGTCTGCCAATCAAGCGTGAGGCACTAGGTTCAAGCCTCAATACCACAAAACAGTCAAAAACATGGAAATGATCTAGAATAGTCAAAACAATGTCAAAGAATTAAGTTAGAGGGTTTGTATAGACTAATAGCAAGTCTTATGACTGCAGGAATCAAAATATTGTGGCACTGACATAAAATTTTTTTGGGGGGGAGGGGTCCAGTCGTGGGGCCTGAACTCTGGGCCTGGGCGCTGTCCCTCAGCTCTTCAGCTCAAGGCTAGTACTCTACCACTTGAGCCACAGCGTCACTTCCAGCTTTCTTTTTGCTTATGTGGTACTAAGGAATCGAACCCAGGGCCTCATGCATGCAAGGCAAGCGCTCTACCACTGAGCCACCTTCCCAGCCCCAGATTTTTTATATTTTTTAAAAGATCAATAGAACAGGTGACCTTGGCCAAGAAACATTGTACTCATAACCTGACATGAAATTGTAACAACTTTGTACAACTACTTAATAAGAAAAAAAGAACATAAAAAAAAAAACAGGCACCAGTGGCTCAGGCCTATAATCCTAGATACTCAGGAGGCTGAGATCTGAGAATCACTGTTTGAAGCCAACCCAGAGAGGAAAGTCCATGAGACTCAGAAAAAGACAGAACTGGCACTATGGTTCAAGTGGTAGAGCACTAGTCTTGAGCACAAAGAAGCTCAGGGAGAGCATCCAGGCTCTGAGTTCAAGCCCCAGAACTGGCACACACACACACACCCCACGGCACACACCCGCACACACAAAAATCAATGGAACAGAATTAATGCCCATAAATATGCCTACACAAGCTTAATCATGTGTTGAATCTTTTCCAAAAGTCATGGTGAAATGATCAAGAGCACTAGAGAAGGGAAAAAAAATTAACATTCCTGAAACTATATAATTAAAAGTGAACTCAAAATATAGCCCCTATTAAACTACACAACTTCTCAAAGAAGTATATCATTTAGATGTACTCCACAAACTAATGTTTTAAAGGATGGGATTCTAGCTGATGATCCCAGCTAATTTCTGAAGCTTTAGAAGGTAGAGCAGATTGGAAGAAGTTGGGTCACTGAAATATGACTTTGAAGGAAATATTGGAACTCTTAACTATTCATTTCTCTCTTGCTTCTAGGCCACCATAGTGGCCACCAACTCTGTAATACAAAAACTCAATTTAAAAATAAGCAAAACATATTAACAGAAACAGTAGCTCAGTTGGTAGAACACTCATCAATGAGCCAAAGTGTCTGGTACCAAATTCGAGTCCAGGTCTAGGACCAAAAAACTAAACTTCAAAGAGAAGTTGTGAATACAAATAATGTGAATACAAATACATGAAAAGATGCTCAGCAATATTTGTCATTAGAGAAATGCAAATCAAAGCACAATGAAAAACCACAATATAACTTATCTGAATGACTAAAATTTAAAAAGACTATAACAGCTTTTTCATTTCTGTGACAAATGCCAGAGAAAATAGGTTTAAAAGAGGAAAGATTTATTTTGACTTATGGTTTCAGTCCAAGGTTGGCTGGATCCATTCCTTTGGGCCTGAGGAAAGGCAGAATACTCCCATGGCAGAAGCATAGAGTACAGGCTGCTACCCTCATGGCAGAGAGACAGAAAGCAGAGGCGGTTAACAAGGAGAGTTCAGTGCCAAAACATGCCATTCAAAGATGGTTCTCCAGCCCTACTTCCTCTAAGTGGGACCCACTTTCCAAGTTCCACCAAAATCTAAGAATCTATTCAAATTTTGAATCCGTCAGTGGATTAAACCGTTTAGTAGATCAGATTCTTCATGATCTACTTAAGTCAGAAAGTGCTCTCCCCCAAGATACATCTAGGAATATACTTTATTTTCTTCCTCAATCAAGATATAACCACCACAATGACCATATCAAATGTTCTCAAGGATATAATGCAACAAGAACTCTCCTACATTGTGGTAGAATGTAAAAATGGCATAACCCTTTGGAAAATGGGCACTTCTTTCCAAAGATAAAAAACATAAGATACACACATAAGACCCATACATTCCACATCTAGTATTTATTCCAAAGAAATGAAAATGTTAGTGTTTAAGTGTACACATCTGTAATGTGAGCTCAGGAGGTTGAGGCAGGAGGATCATGAATTCAAGGCTATCCTGGGCTGGACAGCAAGATTCGGTCTCAAAACAAGCAAACAGATGTCAAGTCCACAGCAATTTGTCAATAAATGTTCACATTAGCTTTGGAAGTAGTCAAAACCTGGAAATACTCAAACATCCATTAAGAGCTAATGTATAAATTGTATACAATGAAATGATGAAATTCTACTTAGTAATGGAGAATAATGCATTACTGACATATTAGCAATGAATCTTAATTATGCTAAAAGAAATCAGACAAAAGAGTGTATTTTGAAGGATTCTTTTTTAATGGAACTCAGAAATGCAAATTACGATGTAGTGACCAAAAGTAGCTCAGTGTCTGCTTGAGGACCAGAGAGCAAGAGAAGAATTACTAATGGGAATGAGTAAAAAAGTTTTTTGGGGGGAGAAGTGGGGTGGGATGTCAATTAAAACAAAAGATTCCTAAGTTTATAACACATGCTATAAATTATGAATTGTATGATTTAAGTATGTGCACTTCATCGTATCAATTAAACATAAAAATTGTGCCAGGGCTGGGCGCTAGTGGTTCATACCTGTAATCTTAGCTACTTAGGAGGCTGAAATCTGAGGATTGTGGTTCAAAGGCTGACCAGCAGGGAAGTCTGTAAGACTCTTCAATTAACCACCAAAAAGCTGAAAGTGGAGCTGCGGCTCAAGTGATTAAGTGCCAGTCTTAAGCAAAAGAGTTCAGGAAAAGTGCTTACATCCCGAGTTCAAGCCCAGGACCAGCATGTGCATATGTGCATGTGCATACATGCGCACGCATGCATGAATATATATACACACACACACAGAAAAAACTGTGTCAGAAAAAAGTTTAAAGGGCTCTCATGATTAATCTGCAGTAACTTTAAAATAAGCATGATGATAATAGCCTATCTCATAAGACAGATAAGGTTGATACCGAAGTAAAAAATAAAAGGAATGCTCCAGTAGAATGTCAACTAATGAACACAAAAGGAATAGAAAAAAAAACCCACTATTTGTCAACTATCCTAATAACAAATGATTTAGCTGAAAATCAACAACAAAGGTGGGTGCTGGTAGTTCATGCCTGTTATTCTAGCTACTCAGGAGACTTAGATCTGAGGATCTCAGTTCAAAGCTAGCCCAGCCAAGAAAGTCTGTGAGACTGATCTCCAATTAACTACAAGAAAACCAGAAATGAAACTCTGGATCAAAGTGGTAAAGTGCTAGCTTTGAGCAGAAAAGCATGGGGATATCACTGAGGCTCTGAGTTCAAGTCCCATGGGCAGGGAGAACACAGATGCTAAAACTGAACTGGTGGTAAAAGTTTGATGACACACCAGACTTTTTTTTTGGGGGGGGGGGTCCTCCAAGTACTTCTCCAGAAGAAATACATAAATTACAAGGTGGAAAACTAATTTTACAAAATGAGATGACAGATACCACTCGAACCAAATGGCCAATACCAGAAATGGAACAAACATTATATATATTCCAGATACATAACACTAAAGACACAGCATTGTTTCCATGGTATTCCTGCCAAAAAGGAAGAATCAGAGACAAATCTCTTTCCGTTTCCAAACTAAAAAGGCACCAAAAAAAAACAAAAAACAACCCACCAAGGAACTATTCAAAGTTAAAAAAGATCTGACAACTATATGCAGTAAATAATTTAGTGTTGGAATTAACACTGAGTTAAGTCATTCCAAGTTGGATTTGGATTTACATATGAATGGTATAGTGATGTCTAATATTCAAGTTAATAGTCTGCTCATTTCACTGGTGGTTTCTAAAGTGATTAGCAATATCACCAAACTGAAATGTTTCTAACACACTAAACTTGATAAACAAAACTTGTTTTTACCTTAACTTCTGCTATGTGAGTTTTGGGGGGGAGAATGGGAGATTCAAATAAGGAAATGTAATTGTCAATAAAGAGAGCAATTAGAGCAAAACAAAATTTTGGTGAGTCATTAAGCACCAGTGTTTGACACCACATTATCAAGTACCAAGTAGGCTGGAGACTACAACTATCTTTCCTCTATCACCTATGATTCTTTAAATGCCAATGCAAATCAGTAGTAGGATCCATGATAATGATAATTTTACTATTAAAGACGACTGAATATTTTCAAACTATTACTTGTACTTACAATTTTGTTTCCCAATTTAGAAATGCCCACGTGCCTGCTGTGTGTTTGTTTAAGTGGCTCCGTGTACTGTGAGGAAGTTGACATTGATGCAGTACCGCCCTTGCCAAAGGAATCTGCTTATCTTTATGCACGATTCAACAAAATTAAAAAGCTGACTGCCAAAGATTTTGCTGACATGCGTAAGTTTAAATAAGACATAAACAAATGTTGCTGTTACCTATGACCTACTACACCAAAGGTTGTCACTGCTGGATGATAGACACCTCTCTATTTCCACACACTTCACCAGACTCCTTTTTTTCTGTGTGGTGAAATCATTTTTCCATACTAATTTCCTGTCATTTTTATTTGCTGATAACTTTGGTGTTTACTTTGATAGCCCATCTTACATATAGACTATCACATCACATATTTTCACTCATAGCTCTTAAGCCTGATTACATGTTAAAAATGTCTGGAAGACTTTGTTTTTTAAAAACTATTTTTGAAATATTTATTCAAGACTGTCCTTCCCAGAAGTTCTAATTCAGGCCTGGGGTAAAGCCAAAACATTATCTCTAAAACCAACCACACTCCTTACACCATTCTACAAGGTTGAAAACCCTGGCATTTAACTCTTTCCAGGTCATTAATCTTGGACTTCTGTCTTTCTACCAAACTTTAACCCAACAAAGGAGTTGCCATGAGACATCAGTTAGCCTCTATTTCTGCAGCACAAAATTTTCATACTGTATTACTAATTTCTTGTCAGCTTTTTAGGCTATTGGGTTATCAAATTCTACTAGATTTCAAAAGAAATCTAAAATTATCTTGAAAAAAAAATCAAACCAAGAAATGTCCACTAGCTTTACTGCACATTTATTAGATAAGCTGTAACTGGTTTCATGCTAGCAGCTTTCAAGTGGGGATTAAAGAAAAAGTAGCTGTTTATTATTAATTGTAGATCTTCTATTTACAAAATCAATACATGTAGTTCAGTGATAGTTTTGCCTAGCATGGATATGGCCATAGATTTGATCCCTAGCACTGTGAAAATTTAATTTAAAATTTTATTTTTTATCTTAAAAAGTACATGTGGTACTTTTATGATTATTAACAGAAGTACATAGAGTAGCAAAAAAGCTATAGTTACTCAAAACACATGTTTCCAACTAAGGTTAAATAAGGCAATGTTTTCTTCTAGTGTCAGCTGTTGTATTGTAAGTTAAGGATCTAATCAGCATATTTAGCATCATTTTTTTCATTTGCGCTTTTTGTTGTAAATTTTACAGTAATGGCACTAAGTATAGTGCTATTTTAAGTATGGTGCTATTTCTATGCATTTCTGCTAATCATTAACATACCACATCTACTAATTGTTAACTTTAATTAACTGTTTACTTTTTCACAGTACTAAGGGATCAAACTCAGGGCCTTGTACATTCTAGACAAGTGCTCTACAAGTAAACTAAATCCCTAGTGTTTCAAAACGTAAGAGATCTACAATGTACCTTATAGAGAATGCATCTGTAATAAGCTTCATTCAGGCATGAATTACAGTAAAATATTAATTCAACAATATATATTAAGGTGTCATTAAACAAAAACATATAAACCAAGATTTGTGTTAACTAGTTAACAAAAAATCATCCAAACAATTGTTCCAAATATAACAAAAAATGTAAAGGGTAAATTATGAAGTTAAGTGCACCTATCTTTATCTGCTTGCTTATGGGAATTCCAACTGATCATGCATAATTCTTAACTAAGTTTTTTAAAAGCATGCATCCACTCAATGCAAAAATGTTTCCATTAACTCTATCCTGGTAGCCTAGATGCTGGCTCCAAACATGTTTAATATGTTTTCCTTAGCCAGTTCTGCCTTTGTTAATGGGCATGTTACTGCATGTCAGTGAGGTGGTCAGGGCAAGTCAGAGGGCTGGTGTTATTGATTCTAACATTCCATTAGAAACTGTGTAATTAATCAGTCACAGAGAAATGCATGAGAGCCAATCCCTATTCCCCCTCATGACCCTCCCCCGCCAAAAAAATGGTAAGAAGGTAGAAGTGCTGCCTCTTAGGAGAGGAGATAGACATAAACCTCAGAGATAGCAAAATTCTGCCAGGGGACATGACAGTATAGTCAACAGAATGGCCTTTGTAGTAGGGTGGCCATTATCATTCCAGCAGTCAAAGAGCACCTGCCAGGCTCCCAGGTCCACTGCCAGGTACATTATGAGAATAATCCCATGTAGTCCTCCTCCCAGCTGCCATTTTACAGGAGGCAAACAGAAGTCAACCTATTTACTCAGTATCTGAGCTAGTAAGGGAAGCAGCAGAACTGGGACCTCCCTCTTCAAGAGGGATCAGACCTTGCCTGAACCTGGAAAACTGAATAGCCAGGCCAGCAGCAGACAGAAACACTTAATGTAGCTTCACTAAGGGTTGTGCCTTTCTTTCTCCTCTGCCAGACCCAGCGACTTGTGAGAGAGCCTATGTGATTAGAGACTCATGGGAAGCCAGGCCACTAACTCCCCTACACTCAATGGTTCAGTACTCATCAATGGTAAAGCAAGTTTTTAGAAAATAACTACAATGAGAAAAAATTGCTTCCTAATCATCCAGACAAAAGCCAAAACACATATACCGTGTATACATATATTGAATTTCTCAATCCTTCAGTCTGTATTGCCATAACAAATTGGGGAACATTTTTGTCTTACTTTGTAAGAAGTAAGGCATAGTGAGATTATGGTAATTTAGTCACAATTAACAATGCGACATCCTAGCAAAATATCCAAAAATACAATTATATGACTCCACTCATTCACATGTAGTTAGTCCCCAGGATTTCCAATAAGTATTTCTTTCAAACTACCTGTTCATCATGAGAAACTGAGAAGTATAGAAAGACTTAATATTAAGATCCTTTCCAAATTTGGGACTCTAGGATAGTAAAAAAGGTATTATTAAGCAGAGAGATACTCAGTGTTCAACAAAACTATTTATTGATGGAGTTGAGAGAAAAATTCAGTGTTCAGTGTTTGCCTAGTATGTGCCAGACACTAGGTACCATTCTCAAGCACATAAAAAAATTTTTGAGCCAGTAATTGTACATACTAATGATAAAACATCTGAATAATCTGTTATACTCACTTTTCTTGTTGCATGAGATTTAACTTCATATTTCTTTGTGTATTTCTCCCCTCAAGCTAACCTAAGAAGACTTGATTTTACGGGTAATTTGATAGAAGAGATAGAAGATGATACTTTTTCAAAACTTTCTCTGTTAGAAGAACTTTCACTTGCTGAAAATCAGCTACTGAGACTTCCAGTTCTTCCTTCAAAGCTTATTTTATTTAATGCAAAATACAACAAAATCAAGAGTAAAGGAATCAAAGCAAATACATTCAAAGTAAGTACTTCATAGTATGACAAAACACAGTACCAATGTTAATAGTTTAACAATCTATGGTTTTAGCCACTGGTGGTTCACACCTATAATCCTAGCTACTAAGGAGGCTGAGATCTGACGATCGCGGTTCAAAGCCAACCTGGGCAGAAAAGTCCATGAAAATCTTATCTCCAATAAACCACTAGAAAACCAGAAGTGGTGCTGTGGCTCAAGAGGTAGAGCTCTAGCCTTGAGCTGAAGAGCTGAGAGACAGTGCCTGTGTCCAGAGGTCAAGCCCCATGACCAACAAAAAAACAAAAAAAAAGTCTATGATTTTTCTTTTGGGGGGCTAGGAGTAGGAATTGCACTCAGTGTATAGACGCTGTCTCTTAGCTTTTTTGCTCAAGGCTTATGCTCTACCACTTGTGGCATATCTCCTCCACTTCCAGATTTTTGGTGGTTAATTGGAGGTCGCATGGACTTCTTGCTCAGACTGGCTTCAAAATATAATCCTAAGAACTCAGCCTCCTAAACAGCTAGAATTACAGGCATGGTCCACCAGAACCTGGCCTTATCAGTTTCATATAAAGAATATTTAGAGCATGGTGGTTCAATACTGTAATCCAATATACTTGGGAGGCTGTTAAAGGAGGATCACTTAAAATGAGATTTACAGATGTATTTCTGAACAGATCAGGATAAATCAACAAAATTATCAAAATTGTCTGCATTGTAGTTTGGTTTAGTGCCTTATGGCTCTAACAGCCACTGGTAAAATCAAGTCACTATAATTCATATAAATTGGGCCTACTGGAAAGATCGATGTCTATGTGGTTAGACTTAGAATATTTAAGAAAGGATTAAAACAACAGCATACAAAAATAATGAACAAAGTTTGGTACAAGTATCAAAATTAATTACTAATCATAAAAAGTAATCTACCACAAAATCCTTATGAAAAAAATCCACATGAAGTTAGGGTTTAATGCAACATTTTGCTAAACATATCTTTTTGGAGTAACCACTTAAGGAGAAATTGGTAAAGTTGAGAAGGGAAGCTCTAGAGGCTCAAGGAAAGTCAGAGTAGCAGCAGGATCCAAAAATAGTCCTGGGTAGAGCGACTTAATTAGCTGTCCTCAAGACAACTTAAAGGACCCCAAAAGTAGCATTAAGATTGAGTTGAAGTGAATGGACAGACATGTGAAGTATGCAGTACTCTGAGGTTCGTTCGTTGTAAATGTCTTAAGGACTAAAACATACTACATGTAAAGCCAAACCCAATAACAAGCAAAACAAAGAACTACTACATGAACAACTGACATGATTTATGTGTACTTATACCAAAATCCCTTTTTATGTATATACTGCTTGGATCCTGACAAAGAATGAACAGACTCCAGTAACACTCAAACCAAATTTTCCTTACAGAAACTGAGTAACCTCGCCATCCTCTACTTGGACCATAATGAACTGGAAGCTGTACCTCCTAATTTACCAGAAAGTCTACGAATAATTCATCTTCAGGTATGATTGTTACTTCCATGATATCTGGTTTAATTACCTATGAGTTCATTTTATGGCTCATTAGTAAACTTTGCTCATCATGTGTGAATTATGGCTACATCATTATGATATTGTGATAAAGTTCAACAACTATTCAAAGTATTAATACTTAAACATATGAATTCCCTATTTTCTAGCCTTAACACACAAATTTGAAAGTTAGGGGACACTCAAACGTCTAGTTCATGTTTCTTTCCTCATAGGGCAATGAGATTAAAGGTTCTAGCATTATTCTAGGAATATATCAAGTAGAAAATCAAAAAAATGAAGAATAAAATTATTTAAATGAAAATAAATGAAAAGAACAGGTGAAAATCTTTAGAAAATATTTAAGGATGTAGTTCCACTCTAGTACTCTAAATAAGATACTTTTTCCAGCTAATATAATCCTATTTATATTCAGATTTTTACATTAAATCAGTATTAATCAGTGGTTTGTTCTTCCAAAATACAGTATAAACTAAAAACAGATGTTCAAATTATGCAGTTTTATTTTCATGAGGATTCACAGAATGTACAATATCGTTCTGTGTGATGGTCCTGGGTCTTGAACTCAGGGTCTGGGATCTTTGTCTCTGAACTTTTGTGTTCAAGACTAGTGCCCTAGAATATTTAAGAAAGGATTAAAACAAAAGCATAGGAAAATAATTAAAGAAGTTTTGTACAAGTATCAAAGTTAATTACTAATCATGAAAAGCCACAGCTCCACTTCCACCTTTTTGGTAGTTAATTGGAAATAAGAGTCTCATGGACTTTCCTGCCCAGGCTTGCTTTGAACTGTAATCCTCAGATCTCAACTCTTGAGAAGTCAGGATTATAGGCATGAGTCACTGGCACCTTGCAAATACTTTAAAAAATACTCTGTGAAGGGTTTCATTATTTAGTACATTAAAAGCTTGTTTCAGAATTGCAAAATATTTTTTTCTTCTGTTTTTCAGTTTAACAACATAACTTCAATTACAGACGACACCTTCTGCAAGGCTAATGACACCCGTTATATTCGGGAACGTATTGAAGAGATTCGCCTAGAGGGTAATCCAATAGCCCTTGGAAAACATCCCAACAGTTTTACTTGCTTGAAAAGATTACCTATAGGGTCATACTTTTAACCACTATCAAGGCAATGTGTAAGCTAAAGTATGTATGCTTATAATTTGTCTCAATAATGTCTAAAAGAACATTAAATACTGGTTTATCATTAACTTTTTATCTTACTATGAAAGAATTTTATGTCTTAAACAAGGATGTTCAAAATAAGATTGAATCTCTAAGTTCAAAATAATGTGAAAATATTTAAAACATTGAAAATTCTCCTGGTTTATACTAGACATCTATTTTAAATGGCCTATTTTTGTATAAACAATTCAAGATGCATATTCTTATTACTAAGTAAGAGAAGTCCAAGAAAGTTCCAATTGTTTATCTTTGCTAGCCTTTATCTTTTTTCTTTTTTCCATATATCTATTTTTATTGTAAAAATACTGTACAACAGAGTTACAGTTACATGAGTAGGGTAATGAGTATATTTCCTATTAGGTTTTATTAAGTATCTTGAAAACATTTAAAGCCTTATAAAGCTAAATATTTCCAGTGATCTTTCATGATTCATAATTATTCATATGAGGTGGGAACCTTGTTTTCTTCTTATAAAGAAAGCTATCTTACTTTATTTTCACTAGCTTAAAAAATAGGTTACGTCTATACAAAATTTTCCAAATAAAGTAGAATTTTACTTTCTAATAAAGAGCTAGAAGGTATATCCAAAGTTTTCTACCTTGTGGGCCACATCATTAGAGTTCAATAAAGAAAAAATATTCTTTTATCATAAGTCATTTTTAAAGCCAAGCAATTCAAAACTAATAAGCTTTTATAAACAAAAAATTCTGACACATTTAAACAAGAATAAAGTTCTTCCACTGAAAGATTTTCAATTTTGAAAGAAGTACAAAATATTTCCTTTTTAAATTACTGAACGGGGCCTTCTCAATAACTGCTCACATATAAAGAAACAAAAACTGCCTGTGCATGTAAATGTTTACCAAAACAAACTGAATATTCACAGCAAAGTTTTTGAGCAACATTTGCTCAATACCCATGATGAACAGACTCATTTAACAATAAAAACCTGATCTTTAATCCAAGTAATGACTCAAAACTGCCAGATTAAAGATCCTGAACTAACCTTTCTCTTGCCTATATATCACTCAAAAGTCTTAATATATTGCTTTGAAGTTAAATTTACCCTCCAACACCATTTGTTGAAGTTGATCTGAGATTAAAAACAGCTATGATCTCTTGGAGTTTATTTTTCTGCATCTATGATCTCTGAAGGCCTCAACAGTGACTCTGACAATGCTCATTAGTGCATTCATTTATTTTGATGAGTAATGACTGTAACTAATATGCTTTTTTCATAATTTTGTGTGCTTGACTTATTTTCTAATTGACTAAATAGTTGAGAGCACTGAATACAGCTTATGTTTATACTGTCACAGTCCTAGCACAACAGTGAACACATTTAAATATATGAATAAATGTTGTAAAATCCAAAGTAAAAGAGTGCTGTTTCATTGGAAAAATTAATTATCGTATGAGTAAATTAATATAAATACAGTGTGACTTTATCTGGAAATACATGCCTTATAAAGAAAGGTTCATAAGCAAGACGGAGACTAAAGAGTGTGGTTAAGTTTATTAAATTTCTGGTTTTCATAAGGCTGTATACACACACATATATACACCAATATGAAGAAAGAAATGCTTAAAATAAGTGCTGGTGGCTTCTGCCTGAAATCCTAGCTAGAACACAGACCCTTATTCAAGGCCACCTCAAATAGAAAAGCTCTAAAGACCTTCTCAACTCTGAGTACAGTGGCCAGGATTGGGAGAATGTTAGCTACAGGCCTGCCTTGTCAGAAAAGTTCAGTACTGGAAGAGAAGAAAAAAGAAAAGGAAGAAAGGAAGGGAGAGAGAGAAGGAAAGGAGGGAAGGAAAGCTGGAGATGGGGAGAGGGAGAGGGAGAGAGAGAGAGAGAATGAATTACTGAAAAAACTGAAGATATACATAGACATCTTGTGTTTGGATTAGATTTAACATTGTTAAGACTACAAAACCATCTCCAGATTTGATGTAATCCCTGTGACAGCCCCAATGGTATTTTCTGAAGAAACAGAAAAATCTATTCTAAAATTCATATAGAATTTCAAAAGCTCTCAAATAAACCCAAGAATCTTAAGAACTAAGGGAGCAGACTGGTATTTCTTAACTTCAAAACTTGCTCCAAACAATAATAATCAAGACACTGTGGTACTTCCATAAAAATTAGACATATAAGCCAGGTGCTGGTGGCTGATGCCTGTAATCCTAGCTACCTAGGAGGCTGAGATCTAAGGACTGCGGTTCAAAGTGTGGGCGCTGTCCCTCAGCTCTTCAGCTCAAGGCGAGTGCTCAACCACTTGAGCCACAGTGCCACTTCCTGTTTTCTGGTAGTTTATTGGAGATAAGAGTCTCACAGACTTTCCTGCCCGGGCTGGCTTTGAACCGTGATCCTCAGATCTCAGCCTCCTAAATAGCTAGGATTACAGGCGTGAGCCACCAGCACCTGGCAGTCCGTGAGACTCTTTTTTTTTTTGGTGGGGGAGGGGGTCCGGTCGTAGGGTCTGAACTCTGGGCCTGGGTGCGGTCCCTCAACTCTTCAGCTCAAGGCTAGAGCTCTACCACTTGAGCTTTTTTTTCTTTTTGCTTATGTGGTGCTGAGGAATCGAACCCAGGGTCTAGGCATGCAAGGCAAGTGCTCTACCACTGAGCCACCTTCCCAGCCCCTGTGAGACTCTTATCTCCAATAAACCACTCAGAAATCCAGAAGTGGCACTGTGGCTCAAGTGGTAGAGTGCTAGCCTTGAGCTGAAGAGTGTAGGGACAGCACTCAGTCCCAGAGTTTAAGCCCATGACCAACAAAAACAAAAAAACAACAAAAGACCCCAGACATATAAGTAATACAATATTTTAAAGCCCAGAAATAAATTTTTATTAAATGGCCAAGTAATTTTCAAGAACGGTACTAAGACCATTCAAAAGGAGAAAGGACAGTGTCTTCAACTAATGAAAATGGATATTCACAGACAAAAGAATCAAGTTGAAGTCATATCTTAAGCTAATATGAAAACTAACAACTAACTCAAAATGGATCAAATACCTAACCTTAAGAACATAAATTAAGCCAGGCACTGGTGGCTCACGCCTGTAATCCTAGCTACTCAGGAGGCTGAGATCTGAGGATCGCGGTTCAAAGCCAGCCCGGGCAGGAGAGACTGTGAGACTCCTATCTCCAATAAACTACCAGAAAACCGGAAGTGGCACTGTAGCTCAAGTGGTAGAGCGCTTGCCTTGAGCTGAAGAGCTGAGGGACAGTGCCCAGGCCCAGAGTTCAAGCCCCACGACCGACGAAAAAGAACATAAACTAAAATTTAAAATAAATAGAAGAAAACCTTTATGAAAATGAACATAGTAATTTCTTGTACAGGACATACCACACCCACACAAACACACACCCACACCAAATCACAGGCAACAAAATATAAACAGGATTTCCGTCAAAACTCACAATTTTGTGCATCAAAAGACATTATCACAAAATTGAAAAGACAATTTGCAGATCATATATTTGATAAGGTATTACTATCAAATACATAGATTGTACAAGGAAAACTAATCCAATTAAAATATGTGAACTGGACTTATATATCCAGATTTGCCAAAGATATATCAATAGCCAATTAGTATATGAAAAGCTGTGCTGTATATGTATATAGGTAGTATATGTTGTAGGGAAACTACACCTTTGTAAAATGGTGCAGCTTCTATTGAAAAAGTAATATGTGCTTTCTTAAAAAATTGAACTTACCCATGATCAAGGAACTCTACTTTTAAATACATACATTTAAATTAAAAGCAAGACCATAAAGCGATATATTGGTGTACTTCTACTCATAACAATAACCTAAAAGGTGAAAACAATCCAAGTTTCTACCAATAGGATGTCCAAGGAAAATGTGATATATACATTCAATGGAATATTATTTAAATTTAAAAAGTAAATATAGCACATGCTACCATATAAACTTTGAAGACATTATGTTAAATACAATAATTGAGACAAGACAGACAGCCTAATTGTGTGAGGTACCTAGAATAGACAAAAATTACAGAAACAGAAAATGGAAGAGTGATTACCAGAGTCTGAGACAAGGAGAGAATGAGAAGATGGTATTTTAATTAGTATGAAGTTTCAGCCTGAAACATATATATGTACACACACACACACACACTAGATAGATAGATAAGGTAGATAGATAGATAGATAGATAGATAGATAGATAGATAGATAGATAGTGGGGGGGGTGGCAGCTATGGTTGCAGAATAATGTGACTTCTTTTTCCATCCTAGTAATTTTACCAACTAGCAAAAAGACTAAAGTTTCTTATCCTCCATGGAAACAATACACCAACTATATCTATAACTGCCTGAAGAGAACCTGAAGTCAAACCAGTTTTGGAAATAAGGACCAAAGCTCACATATCTCACCATCCTCTCAAATACACAACAAACATCAGGATTAGATTTGCTCACTACTATAAAGGCCAACATAGTACCTAATTACTATTGCATTTTACAAGTTGTGAAGTAGACATATTATTTAATTGTCCTGGTACAAGATATTTTTTAAATCATGAGAAATCCTAAAAGGATTGCAGTCGGGAAACTTGCCATTTTTCATTCTGGAGAAAATCCAATGCCTGACAGATGAACTAACCCAAATAGGATAAATTTAACCATAAGAACCCAAAATGAAGGAGAATTATTACCATCATTAAAAATAATAGTCATGATCTAATTAAGCAAATATTATTTATGATGTTGCATCTTTAAGAATTTGCTTTCTGTACATCACTGATATTAATAGTATTCAACTGAGTTTTTTATCTGGAGAGATTCCAAAACAATCTAATAAAAAAGAGTATCTTAAAGTATTTTAGACTTGTCTTACTTCATAAAAATCAGGCCTTAATATTTAAACTCATAATGTACAATAAATAAACAGTTCAAAATAGAGTATGGCTTGAGAAGACTGTATCGCTTCATGACAAGACAGCTATGAGTATATTCTTTAATGGCATTTACTATTTTATTCAAATATCTCCGGGTGATTTTTCAAAATGCAGATCTGGAAATCCAAATATTCATTCAAAATGTTCTACATTAGAAATTGTTTAGTGATGTATGCAGAAGCTCCTCACTTATTACTAATAACTGCAAATTTCTGAAGCCAATAAACATATTTTCTATTTTTTTGAGAACTTCAAGGGAAGTATATTATGGCTGAAACTTCAAATTAGCCGAGCTTCATTTTACATAGATACTTAAATTTAGAGACTTTTAGACTTTACCTTGAAATGCTTAAATGTGTTCTTACGATGTTCATACCACTCCACAAAAAAATGCAGACTTCGGAAAAACATAAGCAAATCTCTTCTTTCTTCTACTCTGTAAAGTAAGATTCTACGATTAATAAATATCATTAAATGATTAATCCAAACTAGTTTTGTTTTTTTCATCAGTCATGGGGCTTGAACTGAGGACCTGGGTGCTGTCCCTGAGCTTTTCTGCTCTAACAATTTTAGCACCTGCTCCACTTCCACTTTTTAGGTGGTTAATTAGAGATAAGAATTTCACAGCTTTTCCTGCCTGGGTTGGCTTTCTCAGGCAATGCTCAGCTCTTGGCTTCCAGGGTATCTAAGATTCTAGGCATGAGCCACCAGCACCTGGCTTATTACTTCTTTTTCCTTTTCCTATACTATTTGGTATAAATTCTGAATCCTGAATTCTGTACTTCTGTAAGTGTCCTTCCTATGACTACAATGTTACCATCTTACCCTAGAAATCCCTATTCAAATGTTTAAACTTACCCATTATTTAAATCACTTGGATTCCACATTCTCAACAAAATCATAAAAAATATGCACATGCCAGTACTGAGGGTTTGAACTCAGAGCCTGGGTGCTATCACACAAGGCTGGCACTCTACTACTTCAGCCACAGCTCTACTTTGAGTTTTTTGCTGATTTATTGAAGAATCTTACAAACACCAGATGAGGATGGCTCACACCTATACTCTTAGCTACTCAGGAGGCTGAGAGCTGAGGATAACAGTTCAAAGTCAGCCTGCACAGGAAAGTTCATAAGACTCTTAACGTCCAATTAACAACTTAGAAAAGGCTGGAGGTGGCAACTGTGGCTCAAGTAGTAGAGCACTAGCCTTGAGCCAAAGAAGCTGGGACAGTGCCCAGGAACAGCCCCAGAAACAGCCAAAAAAAAAGGGGGGGGAGTACATCTCACAAACTTTTCCGCCAAGGCTAGTTTGTGAGCTATAATCCTCATATCCTCTTGAATAGCTAGGATTACAGATGTAAGCCAACTACGTCCAGCTTGTTTTCCATTTTTGATCATGGTAATTTTCAAAAATGTCTAGTACTCAACAGTAAGAAGAAACTAAGTTTGCAAGGAATCAAGTATGACCCAGTCACAGGAAAAAATAAGGATTGTAATTGAAGACAGAGAAAGAATTACCAGGCAATCTTAAATTATGTTAAAAAAAATCACAGAAACCAGGAAAACAAGTGTGGCAATAAACAGAGAATAAAAATGCAGAAAAAATTTTTAAAAAGAAACAGAGCTGGGAATGTGGCTTAGTGGTAAAGTGCTTGTCTAGCATGCATAAAATGCTGGGTTCCATTCTTCAATAACATATAAACAGAAAAAGCCAGAATTGGTGCTGTGGCTCAAGTGCTAGCATTGAGCAAAACAAGCTCAAGGATAGTGCCCAGGACCTGAGTTCAAGCCCCAAGACTGACAAAAAAGAAAAAGAAACAAAAATTTTAATATTCATAGCCAGGTGTGGTTCATGGTTCAATCTTATTGGGAGGGTAAGGAAGTAGGATTGTGAATTTGAGGCCAGTTTAGGTTACATGACAAGACCCTGTCAAGAGAGAGGGAAGGGCAAAATAGAAGAAATAATTTTATAACTGAAAATAACAACCATGAAAATTTCACAGAAGGGCTTCTACAGCAGATCTGAATAGGCATAATATTCAGCAAGTGAAACAGGTTAAAATTACTGTAGCTCAAGTGAAATTATTCAGATTAAGAAACAAGAAAGAGCGCATACAGGTGGCTCACACATACAATTCTACACATGAGACTGAGATTTGAGAATAACAGTTTGAAGCCAGCTTGGACAAGAAAGTCTATGAGACTTTTATCTACAATGAATGGCCCCCCCAAAAAAAATTTTTTTAAAGCTGGAAGTGAAGCTGTGACTCAAGTGATAAAGCACTAGCCTTGAACAACAAAACTCAAGGACAGTGCCTAGGCTCTGAGTTTAAGCCCCAGATCTGGCATGTGTACACAGGAACATGTACACATGTATGCACACACACATACACACACATGGAAGATTTACTTAGCCACCAAAAACAACAGGTTGATTGCAGGAAAATAGAAATGGAGACCATAACATTAACTAAAATAAGCTAGTCCCACAGAGTAAGTAACATGTTTTTTCTAATTTGTGGAAGCTAGGGGAAAACAAAACAAAGCAAACAACAAAAAAAAAATCCAAGCGTCTAAGAAGGTGGCTTAGTGATAGAGTGCTTGCCTCACATGCATGAAGCCCTGGGTTTGATACCTCAGTACCACATAAACAGAAAAAGCCAGAAGTGGCACTATGGCTCAAGTGGTAGAGTGCTAACCTTGAGCAAAAAGAAGCTCAAGGACAGTGCTCAGGCCCTGAGTTCAAGCCCCAGGACTGGTTAAAAAAAAAAAATCCAACGTAATGAAAGTGACAGGGACATGCATGGGGAAGGGAAAAGGGAGGAGAAAATGATCAGCAATACCAGAAGGATGAATAGATCAAAATATATTACATGAATCTATGGTAAGGTCATAATGACAGTATGTATAATTTAATATATACTAATAAAAAACTAAATTGAACTTAAAAGAAGGTGTGGGTCAGGAAAGAAGCATTAGAGGATGCTAAAGGGTGGAAAAATAATTAACTTAACTGCATGGTCATAGACTACATGTGAATTCTAAGTGAAGAAAAAATAGGAATCTTACAGTGGAAAAACAGGAAAAAGTTTCATTCAGTGGTCAACCTTAGTATCACCTATGAACCTTAGTATCACCTATGAACTTTAGTATCACCTATGAGGGACATTATGCAAAGAATGACAAGATGTCACGTACACAATATATCACCTACACAATATTTTATCCAAGAATGCTTACAATTAATCACAAGAAAAAAAACAGCTAACAAGAAAAATCTGCTGTAAAAGAAGAGTAAAAAGAACTGTGTTTTCTAAAGATGGCAAAGTTTAAAAAAATGGCAAAGTCGGGCTGGGAAGGTGGCTCAGTGGTAGAGCATTTGCCTTGCATGCATGAGGCCCTGGGTTCGATTCCTCAGCACCACATAAACAAAAAGAAAAAAGCCAGAAGTGGTGCTGTGGCTCAAGTGGTAGAGTGCTAGCCTTAAGCTGAAGAGCTGAGGGACAGCACCCAGGCCCAGAGTTCAGGCCCCAGGACCGGACCCCCCGCCCCCACCAAAAAAAAAATGGCAAGGAAAGGTTGTGGAACTACTCCAGATTAAAGGAAGCTTAAGAGCCAGACTCGGGTGTCTTACACCTGTAATCCTCGCTACTCTTGAGGCTAGAATCTAAGGATCATGGTCTCAAACCAGGCGCCAAAAAACTGGGAAGTAGAGCTGTGGCTCAAGGGGTAGAGAGCCAGCTGTGAAAAAAACAAAAAACAAAAAACCTCAGAAACAGTGCCAGGGCCAGTAAGTTCAAGCCCCAGGACTGGCATAAAAGGTGGAAGAGGAACCTAGAGACAAACAAGGTGAGTATTGTAACAAGGTGAGTATATTCCTGTAATCCCAGCTACTTGAGAGGGGGTGATAGGAGAATACCAGCTCAAAGTGAACCAAAGCAAAAAGCTAAAGTATCTTAAAAAGTATATAGAGGTGGCTCAAGCCTGTAATCCCAGATACTGAGAGTTAGGTGGGAGGTAAGAAAATCAAAGTCTGAGGCCAGCCTGAGCAAAAACTGTACAACCCTATCTGAGAACAAACTAAAGTCACTAGCATGATGCCCAGAATTCAAACCCTAATCCCATCAAAACAAATTTAAAAAAAAGACATGTAACAAATAAATTAACAGTCAACCCTAAATAGTATGATGCACTGTGAGAGAAAAAAATTCAACAAAGGATATTATGAAACTACCAAAATTGAAATAAATCTATTAAAATTATGTAAATGTCAATTTATGAAGCTCACCCTGTACTAGGATTATGGAAGGGAATATATGTAATAAAAAATGCAGGACTCTGGATACAGCCACAAGATTAAAATTACAGATTCAGAACCCATAATATGGAGGGATCAGCTTCACTACTTGTTCATAAATCTACACATTGTTTTCTATATATTTCAGAAATTGATACATTCAAAAGAATGATTAGCTTATGTATTGGAGCACACAATGTACACATATGTGCCTGTGCCATCAACAGCTGGAAACAATTGGAGACAGAAGTAAAGGAACACAGTTTTTGTTACATTCTGTAATTTCAAGTTATAAGTTAAAACTTTGTTGTTATGGTTTGGTTCTTAAATGCTCCTCCAAAGCTTATGTATTTAAGACTTGGTCCCCAGTGCAGCAGTGTACAGAGCTGAGGCCTTTGGAAGGTGAGTTCTGATCTTATAAATAGTTAACCATTTATAACTTAATGGGCTATTGAGACAAAGCAGATCAGGAAACATGAGTCAAGGGAAACAGGAACCAGAAATTCAGAGATTAACACTGTGTTAATTAGTAGCTTGATTCAAAGCACACAGGTAATATTTTCTTTGGTTTAAACCTTTTTCTCAATATAACATTTATTTAAAAAAAGACTTGCCTTTGTTTCTGTTAGACTGCTTTTTGGTTCTGTATTGAGTATCTTAAGTACTGTAGAAAAGATGTCATTTCTTCCTTTAAGGCTGTTTTGTAATATATATAAGGACTGGAATTGTGTTTTTAAAGACAAGCATTCAAGTATGACAATATACTATCTGTGTTTTCACCATTCAAAATGCTGTTTAGTAGTTGAAACTTAAACTATTTAATGTCATTTAATAAAGTGACCAAAATGTGAAGAAAAAAAAACAGTTCTTCCACTCTGATGTTGCCAACTGGCTCAAATGATTATTAAATTCTGGGAAGTAAGAATATTTTTTAAAAAGACATCCTGGGGAAATTTTGTTGATAAAATGACTCCTCTGGGGCCCTGTTTCCAGGGCCTTACACATTAGAGCTGGAGCAGAGCTGATAATTAATTAGAGTCCCTTGCCCCAGGCAAGACAAGAACAACTAACCATCAAACTGAGGAGATCGTTGCTACTGAGACTCTGAGACTTTCCCACCAAGAACATAAACATGGTT